TTTTACCAAAGCAAAAAAAAAGTGTGTGCTCATTTGTTTGCTTTTACCAATATATATGTATATGTATGTGTACATGTAGCCATATATGCGCGTCTGTGGTGTTTATTTGAATGAATAGTGCGAAACCGAAAATGTTACGTGCAATTTGCAGCTACTTCCTGTTGGCATTTGTATTGATTTGTTGTGGTTAAATGTTAATATACTTATTTTATCGAACGGAAATAGTATTTATTCATTTATGCACAATTTGTAATATCTTTTCTGTAATTAAAACCAATTAGTAATTTTAGAAATGTATATATGTATGCTAAACTGCAATTTAGAATATACAATTGTAATTGTACATAAATATTAAATTATGTTTACACTGCGTGACCGGAGGAGATGTGGTTCATTAGCACGTTTGAAAAAAAAATATATACTGGTGGGCTGAATAGCTGATTGAGTTGCATTGATAAATTATTTCACATTTCTCATATAAATATTAAGGGATAAACAAGTATATGGTAGTATATCGGGAATATTTTACATACCAACCATTACTCCAAACCATTACCATGCTAAGTCAACATAGACTTAGTCAGACTTAACATAGTAATTGAAATTGTTTGCACGAAAAATCTGACAATTTTTGGTAATTTTTGTACGAAATCAAGGCCATAACTCACGAGATAAATTTGCTAGGTCTGATTTGGCCAACTGATAAGACTTATATTTGTGAAAAATTTTTTCGTTAAATAGCGCCGAAACCATCATTCTATTAACCGACTTCAAAAACAGGAGGAAGGTTATAAATACATCGGAATATATATACTATATATATTTTTTTATGTATGTTACTGGATAACTTTGGACCGAATATGATCTTGATTTGGGAAAATTTTTCAAAAACCTTCCGCAGGAATTCTATTAACAAGTTTAAACCCACTTACAATTCTTTTTTTTTATTGTAAAATTAAAAAAAAAAATCGTAAACAGCTCCGAGGCCGACAGTTTGAATGAAAAGTGTTCTGTGCAAATTGAATAAATAATTCAATTAGCTTTGGTTTAAGGAAAAGAGAACTGAAATTCGCTAACCAGAAATTTTGCATATGCAAAAATGTTAATTGGCTAAAATCAGAATTACATTAATCTAGTATCAGAAGAGTTTTTGGAAAACAGTCTTTAAATAAAATTTATGTGCATCATTTTTTCCTAGGGTATAATTAAAAAAACGGTAAACGCTCTTTACTGTATTTTATAAGGAATTTAATTAGCTACCTTTCAGAAAATTTTCAGCGGAAAAAAACGCGAAACTAGACAAGAAGGTTTACCAAGGCAGGGCTGATCGACTTACTCAAGAAATTTTTAAAATATTAGATTATCTTTTAAAAATGTTCGTATTTAAAAATAATATTTTCTTACAAAAGATTTAGCACCCACGTATTTGAAAGTTCACATTTTAATACGCGCGTAATTAAATTTAATATTTACGACAATACAGTACTTTCGCTGACGTTTATATAGTAAGATCAAATACTTTTCTGATTGGTTTTAATATTTTTTCCCCATCAGTGTATATACGTTATTACCCATCTTGATCCGCTTAGACTGCTCCCAACAACCTATTTGCAACAAAGTTATAATGTACCAATTTTGCAAATATCTTTGCAAAGCGAAGAATAACAAACACATATGTATATGAGAGTTTAGGTGTTTTCAAATCACAAACCAAATTTTTGCAAAAATCGCAAAATTCTTGTATTGAAAAAAGGGATCCCGGCTGCAAAACATCTTCTTCCTAATAAAAGCCATTGCACATAGCCATAGGTAATTTTTAAAATGCGTTCAACAAAACCCATAAAAAAATCTCTACATGCTTAAAATGATTCCGGTAGTATTGTACTGCTGCATTTATGCCAGCCATGCATGCTCACCTAACGTCCACATTTCGACCAAATTGGCTGCTATTGCTACAAGTCGCATGCTAAGCCCAAAATGTCTTTTATTACTTTGGTATGCAGCTGTGTTTTGTATTGGCTTACCTGATTTTGTATTCACCAGATGTAGTATTTTGTGTTATGCGGCAGCCATTTTGTTGCCACAGACAAAATGCATGTAAAGATGACCAGGAAGAAATAACAAATAAAGGCATTCGTACGTTCACCTCGACCAGATCAGAAAAAGAGAAAAATTTTTTAAATTTAAAAGTTTCCTATGCATAGATCTTAGTGATATGTACGTTAGTACGTGGTACCAAACAAACTTACTTCTTTTGGAATATTTACATGATTGATTCTATATGAAACTAGGCATTTTTTTGCTATCATTTTGCTGGGTTTTGATGGCACCGATTGTTTATATACAAATATTTTGTCAATTAGACTAACTCATACGGCTTTTACGTATGGGTATTGGCTCGAGTTAACAATCACATACTCTATACAAAACTATTAAATGTAATAAAAAATTACTTCACAGCCAACCAGCGGAGTCCACAGGGACCTTGTGAAAAGGGCTCCTTAATTCGTTCGAAGATAACCCAGACGGAATGTCTGGAAATGCTCCGATAATAGACCGAAAAGGAGGCTTTACATTTTCTCCAAACTAGTTATAAGATGAATGCTTGTTAAACAGTATATTAAAGATATTTTATAAAACGTACGCTTTACTAGCTGCCAACGATTTAAAAGCACAAACGTTAGGCACATATGGATGACCATATATAATAACGGGTGATTTTTTAAGAGCTTGATACCTTTTTTTTTAAAAAAAATGCATAAAATTTGCAAAATCTCATCGGTTCTTTATTTGAAACGTTAGATTGGTCCATGACATTTACTTTTTGAAGATAATTTCATTTAAATGTTGACCGCGGCTGCGTCTTAGGTGGTCCATTCGGAAAGTCCAATTTTGGGCAACTTTTTCGAGCATTTCGGCCGGAATAGCCCGAATTTCTTCGGAAATGTTGTCTTCCAAAGCTGGAATAGTTGCTGGCTTATTTCTGTAGACTTTAGACTTGACGTAGCCCCACAAAAAATAGTCTAAAGGCGTCAAATCGCATGATCTTGGTGGCCAACTTACCGGTCCATTTCTTGAGATGNACATACATAAGTCGCCTGCATGCCAGAAACATGCATGTGTAAAAATGAAAAATTTAGGGAAATCAAGTTTGGAAATTTTTTTTACGAGTCTAAACTCTAAAGTCTTAACTGTAAAGCTTATACAGCTCATCGTTCTATCGTCTGCGTTACTCGCCGTCGCCAACGGCAACTCCTTTTACTGCTATCGAAAGCGGCTTTGAAGTCGACAAATAGGTGGTGAGTAACGATGCTTTTCTCGTGGGTGTTTTCCAAGATTTTATGGATTGTAAATAACTGGTCTATGAGTTCTTGGACGGTGGACTTCAACCTTTCACACAATACACTCGAAAAGACCTTGTAACCTATGCTTAGAAAGCTAACCCCGCGGTAGTTGGCGCGAATGGCGGGGTCGCCTTTCGTGTGGATCGGACAGAGCACACTTAAATTCCAGTCGCCGCGCACGCGTTCATCTGACCATATTCTGCATATGAGTTGATGCATGCACCTTATCAACTCCTCGCCACCTTACTTGAATAGCTCAGCTGGCAGGCTGTCAGCTCCAGCAGTTTTGTAATTTTTCAAGCGCGCTATTGCTATTCATAGCTCGTCATAGTCAGGCGGAGGAACATCGACTCCGTCATCATCGACTGGGGGCTCAGGTTCTTCTTCTCCACAACTTTCCGTGCTGGTACCATTCAATGGGTTGAAAAGGTCTTCCCTCCATAACTTAAGTACGCTGTGGACATCAGTTACTAGGTCGCCATTATTGTTCTTACAGGAGTACGCCCCAGTCTTGGAACCTTCCGTAAATCACCTAACTCTCTGGTAAAATTTTCTTCGTGCCGGCCAGCATTTCAAGCTCTTCGCACTCACGTATTTCTGCCTCTCTCTTCTTGTTGCGGCNGAACCTTCCGTAAATCACCTAACTCTCTGGTAAAATTTTCTTCGTGCCGGCCAGCATTTCAAGCTCTTCGCACTCACGTATTTCGGCCTCTCTCTTCTTATTGCGGCAAATACGTCTCGCTTCCCTCTTCAGATCCCCATTGCGGTCCCACATAGCGCGCGTTGCGCCCGATCGCAGCTTGGCCCTATAGGCGGCAACTTTTTTTCTCTGCAGCTTCTTGACACTCCTCATCGTACCAGTTGTTTTCTCGGGCTCGCTGAAATCCGGCTACTTCTTCGGCGGCGGTACTTAATGAACGATAAATGTGGTTCCACCGCTCGCATATGTCGTTTTGTTGACGAGTGCTCTCTAAGAGTAGGAGTGAGAGTCGACTAGCGAATGCATTGGCTGTCTGTTATGATTGCAGCTTTTTGACGTCCAGCTTTCCTTGCATTGTTGGGCGCACATTTTTTGCTGCACAGAGGCACTGCGACCTTAAAGCCATTGGTACGCCCTTCATTGATTAATAGTGTGTCTTTAAACCCAGTCGCGGTAGAAAATTTTAGTAAATATTGAGCTTGAATCTCTAGAATTACGTTGCCCTCGGTTATTAAATGGTCACCCAAGTGTATTTTGCGTTTGTGCATTAATGCCAAATAGCCTTTCAAGAAGTTATGTGCAGCCCAGCCGGCCGTGGCAGAGAGTTCCCTTTTCCAATGCGACAGAAGGTCTTTCGTCCAATGAAAGGGATTCATACACCTCTCTTTGCTAGTTTATATGCAATCACGTTTCGTTCAATACCAATTATGTCCCGTAATACAGTGAACCCAAACTCGATTGATCAGACCAAAAGTGGTCAGCTTATCAAGGCACTCCATCACAAGTTTAGATGTTGCCTGAAGAGATCTGAGTAGTAGCTGAATAGCAACTTGGCTGGATGTTGTAATTCCGGTGGTTTCGCTTGATATTAAAAAGCCAATCTTGCCTTACAAATGTAAATGCCAGCGAAATGTTACCTGTTCTAATACCTCCCGAAAATTCGAGAAAAATTTATGTATAGTTAATTTATACCAGTTGGCTCGATTTACCAACAACTCTTTACTGGTACAAAATGCTTTTATGCTAAGTGGTGAACATTTATTTCAAACTGACTCACATATAAATATTTGCGTACGTATATTCGAGTTATATATTAGTAAAAGGCACTTGATATTTCTAACTAAAAAAAATTAATGAAAATTCCTTTTCAACAGTAACGTTGAGTTTAAAACGCAATTTTCGGTATAATCTTAAAGATTTTGAAGTACAGCTTTATTAGGCATGCAATTAGAGCGAATCCGAATGTTGATTTTAACAGCTGATGTAAGAGTAGTAGCCTGCAAATAAGTGGAGGGATAATAAAATAAGAATTTAATGCATAAAAGATAACGATAGAAATATGTGCATGAACATACATATGTAAGTGAAAATGAGGGAAGTGGAAAGTCGATTACTATTGCATGCATCCACGTATACACTACATACAAAAGTTTGTATGTAAGTTTTTTAAAGTGACCATAGCTAAGCTCACCTCAGGCCAAAAGGCACAACGTAATATGAGTATAATGCGAAAAGCAACGATCATAAAGTAATTAAAAACTACTTAAGACGAAGACAAATGTACGCACATATATATGCAGAGAAATACTCATTTATTTAAACATTAGTGTGCCCCACCTGAAAAATTGCGGTTATTCCGGTGGAATTATAAAACTTATTATATTTAAAAACTTCCGCCAAAATATTATGGAAAACTATTAAGATTTACGTGAACCGGCTTGAAAACACCGCAAAAGATAAAACTTTTTATAAATAAAAATTGCGTTTGAAAAGATTTCTTTCCGAAAAATTACCTAAGATGATAAAAAAGTTTAAGCTCAAAAGGTCTGCATAAAAATGTTTGAGCATTTTATCAATAAAATCGAAATAATTAGATTTATGAAGGTATTTTTAAGTCAGACCAGTTCCCACAAATATTAATATTTTTCCGAAGTATTTTGGCGAAAGTCTAAAAACATAATAAATTTTATAATTCTGAAGGCAAAACACTACCGCTTTTTCTTGTATTAAGAGTGATCCACCCTAATGTACATACTGAGTGAACGAAATTAAGTCTTATATACCTGCGATAAAATGCACGCCGCTTCTGCAATTTATTATCATTATCCTTGAAGAAATATCGCCGTATACCACTTAGATAAGAACGAAAATATTCGCTCCAATTAATGGTAGCCATATTGAATTGTAATAAATTCCGCTCTTGTGTCTTGCACACCATAGCGTCCAATTCATCAATATTATTGTTAGCGAAGCGCCATTCTTTCAAGCCAAACCAAGACATCATATAAATGACTCGCGAAATTTTACGATACGCTTTTATATAGCTGATGGTATGGAGTGTGCAGCAATCGGCGTATGAACGTGTGTTTATGGAAAGACAAAGAAATGTGAATTAAGTAATCAAGTTGAAGAAAAATTTTTAAATAAAATTCACAGACATGGATAAACATAAGTGTGGTTGTGTGCAAATGTATGATGCTCCTTTATTGAGCTTTAGTTATTACATATACATAAGGATATTATAATTTCGACGTATATAAATATTAACGGTATCACACATTTGCAAGATAACAATACTTTGTACATAAACTTGAGAAGACAATTGTTGCACACATATCTCCTAGTCCACGCATCTACATTTTATATAAGGAAAAAACAATTTTTTGTGGGAATGGCATAGAGTTCTTGAAAATCAATGTTTTTCGGTATGAAATCTCTGTTTTTCTTCAGAATACTTCAGGAAATAGTGCCAAATTATTTATTTTACAATTGTTTAATATAAGCGATTTTCTGTGGGTGCCCTCATCGCATTTTTTGAGGTTTTTAGGGGTCGATGGAATCTGTTTTGCAGATAATTTCTATAGTTACCGAAAAGTATTTTAAGACAGTGTCACACGATTGGCACATGTGTACAGATGTGTAAATTTTTTATATTGGGCTATTGGTAGAAAAAAAAAATTGGGACAACATGGAACAACAGGGTGAACTTCTATTGAAAAATTTGAACAAACTGTTTTTGGCGATTGGAATACGCTGGAATTCACACGATTTCGATACGATTTTGCACCAAATTTGGGGCAATTACCAATCGTGGACCACTGTATTTAAGGTTTCGAGAATTTTTTTTAGTAATGCTATGCAAAAGTATCTAGATACTAATCGTTAGTTAGGCTTATCCTCTGCTTTATCTGCGTTAGAACTGTCATAAATAGGCAGTTCTGAAGGAACTGGACAGAAAGAAGTTGTAGGAATAAAGTCTACACTGACGGCATGGTACACATCGTATTTCAGGCAGAGGAGGCTCTCGAATGGCTGCATAAGGGCAAGCCAAGCGGCAAGCATGGTTCAAGGATGAATTATGTAAGCTACTATCGAAACAGGTCAGGGTGTATTGGACCTCTGCCTGCAACATCACGAATTAGTTTAAAACCAAACCGATTTCGGTCTCAACGCACAGTGGCTTTGCAATAAGTAAAAAAAAAATTAAAAATAAGGATGATGACTTGAAAAGGTAGGGCACCATTGGGGTTATTTATTATCCTTAGGGACTTACTGCGGCGCCATTTCACGGTTCTTGCCGGTGTGCCAACCGAGCACTGTCTTTTAGAAAAGGAAAATTAAAAGGTGAAATCATCTCACCCCTCCCTTTTCAGCTACCCAGCTTTCGCAAACCTAAGGTTTACACATCTTAGCTATCGTTTAAGGAACTTTTTGTTGCCTTCGAAATAATATTTTGAGCATCTAGCGTTTTTCTAACAGCTTTTCTGCAGTTAACGTTTCAGGAAAGAGTCGACTAAGTGAGGCAGTTACCTATATCGACCTTATCTTCTTTTTTTATAATGTACATTATTTTCGAAAATACTGAGTCCAAAATCGTTTAAAGAAACCTTATTTACAGGGTCATCCATAAATTATTCTATAAGCACCAAACACGCCAACCCCACCTCTCGACCCACTAATTTACACTCCTACATATACTCACATGCGCTTTTGTCCAGTTACCATGGCAATGAAATCTAATATATAAGCCGGTATATTGTGTAGAAAAAATGCAACGGCACAATGTATTGGCTTTGAAGGTATTATAACGTAGGAGAAACACCTGTGACAACAATAAAATTTGAACAAAGCCAAATGCACGACCATTGAACAGAGTGACCATATGGTGGACCCGACCATTGAGCGGTTCAAATCGAATGCGGTCAAGTCAATTTAAGCGGCAAAAATACCCATGCAATTGCAATAAATACAAATATAAATGCAACGAAGGTACAAACAGAAGATAGATGAGATGGCAATGCAGCGTTGTATGGGTTAAATGTTGCTCATACGCGATGTGCACCGCAACAATATATATGTGGTGTGGTGGCAGGTATTTGTTGAATTGTATTTGTATGCATTGTGTTTGTGTTTTGTCGGTATTATTGTTTGCGTGATTTTAGTTTTTATTATAGCAGCATTGCAGATGAAATACGTATTCCATTATTTAGGTTATTTAGCAGCGGTGAAACAAAGCCAACAGCAGCGTCCATTTGGGAATGCATGCAAAATAAAAACGAAAAAATATCGAGGAATTAAAATGGTATTAAAAAATATTTCTAGGTAAAGAGTTTTAAAATAGTTTGTGTGGAATAGGTGGTACTATTTTTAATGAAAATGTGGTTTTTTAAATAGTTTTTTTTTTAATTAGTATTTTTTTATAGCTTTAATACTAAAATAATATTTTAAAAATAAAAGAAATCCTAGCAGTAGCGACTGCTTATGGGAACCTTTAGTTTAACGCTGGAAATTCAGTTTATGCTAAACTAAAATGCAACCATTTTGTTGTCTTTTTTGGCAATGTTTTTGCTGTAGTTATGAATATTTTTGGGCTTTCAGCAACGGCTGCCAGCATACTATTAGAAACAAGTAGAGTGTGTTTTTTTCTGGTTATTGAAAGGACCCTTTAATGTACTTTTTGTACGTAAAAATGTAGGTCAACATCAAGACGCATGTCGATGTTTTTTTTTTTTTGACTATATATCTCTTGAGGATTATAGAAACATCAGTCATTTCAGGTTTAATGGTAACTAAAATTTATTGTAGTTATGTGGAAACTGAGAAATTTTAATATTTCGGTCTACAGCAGTAATTTATGTAAGTTATTCAAAGGCCTTTCTGGGGGTTTATAGGTATGAGCAATCTGAATCCGCAATTAATTTTTGCTATACATTTTTACCAAAAGCGGACGCTGGATGCGATCTGGTGCAAAAAAAGGAACAATGTTTAGAAACATTGTTGAGAAACTCTGTTTGCACTATTCCTTCATGTTCCTTCAATGTTTTTTGCATCATAGCTGGGTGCCAGGGGCCGTTTTTGGAAAAAAATAAATTGAAAATTCAGATTCCTCGGAGCACAAAGCTCCCAGAAAGGCCTTTTGAAGGTATAAATATTTGCATTTAAATTATTTTTACTTCAAATTGAAAAAAAGCTTAAAATCGCCAACCTTGTAAAACTGAGAGATTATTTTTCCATATACAATCTAGACTTCCCAAAAAACTTGGTTCCATCAATTCTCCAGAAAAAAAAACTACGTAAAAACGAGAGAGCATGAAGACGACAGATTCTGTTCCAATATCCCTTTTGTAGGTATTTGTGGAGATAACAATAGCTTTATCGCTTAATCAAGTAGCACACTAATGTATAACTTTTTTAAAATTTGTGAACTTTGGTACAATTAATCAGATTTATACCAAAATTCGTAAATTTACACCAAGTTATGCACCAATGTGCTATTTGAGTAAAACGGCCCTGCCAATTGTTCTAAGTATCTTAAATTCCCAAGGGCAAAGAGTGCTCTTATTTGTAGCCCTAGTTCAATTTTGGAGATATTGACCCCCAGACTCATCCTTTCCATCCAGCTTGCCAGATAGTTTAGTAGAGGTTGCTATACTCGTATTTTACTAACCGCCTAAATAAACTTGCCTAAGGAGTTGCAATATAAAACGAGACAATGATAAATATTCTACTCAACCTTTCCTCGATCCTGAGAATAACAGATGGATCTCATTCTATACCATTCAGGAGTAGGTGGATGAAAAATTAACAATGTTAAATATACCTTAAACAGAATCCCTTGCGAATTCCTGTATTTAGTTGAGAAACTCAACTCAAACCAAAAATTCATTGACAATTCAAACTGTCTTCTTAGTGTATGGCTTGTGCAATACTCCCACCAACCTCGTTTCAGGGGTATCAGCCGATCTGCCGCTTTCAACCACATCGGCTAATTATTCTACATCAAACTAAATTTATGCATACGATTATAATGTTCTTAATTTAGCTAGATTAAGAGCAGTTTGTTCAATGTCTGGTTATCACTACCTCCCAGTTAAACATCATTATCAACGTTTCCGAAATCATACATATATATAACATATAATCTATAATCCATAAAGCAATCTTTTTATTTCATCGGAGCTTTTACTTCCGGTTTGTATTAACCGGGCATTAAAGAAACGGTACTGAGCTCTCATTTGACTAATTTTCCACTTCATCCTTGATTGCAATTAAAATAAGAGCATAAAGAATGTTGAACGGAAGTGTGTTTCGACAAAAAATAAATCCTAAAAAAGAAGCTATGCCATAATTTTTGATAGCTTCGAAGTACTTCTTGCAAACAAATGGAGTGAGCTCCTCTGAAAGGGAACGTAAATTTATTTTTGTTAAAATCAAAGCAGAGTGGAGTTATAAAAATTTCCACAGTTAACTTTCAATAACACAAACGTAGAATGAAATAGTGATCTTCCTAACTTAGTAAGAAACTCTTGCAGGCACATTTTACTTTTAAATTTCGATCTACTTTTGCATGCACATTGGGGTGGTCCTTAAATGTAGGAAGCAAATTTTTACATCAGATTTATTAAGCCTCAACTCGTACGTTGATGCTACTATGGTCGAAGATACCACATATAAATTTTGGTCCCGATTGGAGACGATTAAGGCGTGTCGCACATGGAGCAAAATTCAGATTTCTCTATGGAGACTCAAGAAATTAATATTAACTTCTTTTATCGAATACCCAAATAGTCGAACATATCACATGTAAATTTTTGTCTCGATTGAAGGCGGTTAAGGTGTGTCTCACACGGGGGAAAAGTTCAGATTACCCTATGAAAACGTCTTAACCGTCTCCAATCGGAGCCAAAATTTATATGTGATATCTGTGACCGTGGTGTTACCGATAGAGGGGGTGAGGTTGAAAAAAATCGTGCATTTGATTTTTTAAGGACTACCCTAATGCAAATTTAAAAATTGCCTATGAACTCCATACAAAATAAGTACTAACATCTCTAGGCGGTTCACATGTCAAATTGGCGTATACAGCACAAGATTCAAAGCAAGCATTTATAACGGCACTATATACCATAGCAAACCCGTGCAAAATATACCCGTATATACCCATATACATACCTAAGTACATACCTATGTATGTAAGTATCCTTGCTTGCAACTTGTAACGTATGTATATTTGTTTGTTTGTAATCAAACTTACCACAATGCCTTGTCAAATGGCTCGTGAAATCCCTCACGTGACATGCGCATATATTGGCCCCATGTTAAATTGTTCCGATCGAAAATGTAATTGTAGACAGGTAATTCCTCCTTGGATTCTGCATCACTTTGGCGCAATAAAAATCTGTCGAGAAAGGAGAAAGAAAGCAAGCATCCACATGAGTAGAAGCAATACTCAAAAGGTTAAACCAAAGGACTGGCAATGGCGTTGCAAAATTACTTGAGGGCAAATGTGTCCAATTGTTGCAAGTAAGAGAGTGGCAGACCAACATGCAATAATCATGGCAATAAATTTCACTAACTGATAGCAGACGTTGCAGCTTCATTTGTTGTCTATAACATGGTGTAAGTGCAGATAGATGCAGTCATTTTTTTTTTTTTATGTACCTACAAGCGGTATGTAATCTGCGTGGTAATCAAGTGGTCTTTAACTGACTTTCTCCTACGTAGTAAACTCTGAAAACGAATGCATGCAATCTATGTACATATTTGCCTTGACAGCTAATAAAGGACTGCAACGTTTTTATAAATTTGCACAATAAAATATATTCCCTCTATTCAAATGTCGTTTAGATTTATTTTCAAATAAAATAAAATTGTATTGGCCTGCCAATGTCGCAAGGTCAACTGAAAAACCACAAAGATAAAACTTCTCTGGACAATCTAAGTTCCTCACCCCAAAGTTCTGTCTTGATGGTCTCTGCAAAGTGGCAGGAATATTTCCTCACATTTCATTTCAGTTTAATACTTAAGAAAAAATCTGTTCAAGCGCAACTTTGCTCAACAAATAACGGTAGATGACGTTCACAGAGCTTTTTATACTTAATGCTACATTTGGATAAATTACTGAGACTAAATATGTATATGTACATATGTACATATTAGTACAGTTAAAATATCTCATACAGGGCTTAATGTACTGGAATGGTCCTATCTGCGATCGGAATATTTTTTTGCATGCAATGCGCCGCCAGGAAACAATTTCCTTGGTCGGGAGACCTACTATCCGACTTTATATGCCGGAAATTCCACATAATAATTAACATAGCTACAACACAGGGAAAGCGGAAATCATGATCTTCTGATTATCAGATCAAAAAATTTCCATTTGTGCTCTTCTGGTTTCCTTTTAAATCATATCTGGGAGAATGCTTCGTCGGGGCCGGCACGAGGGCTGTAATAATCCTTCTGACCTGCTAGGTAACCGTCGCCTAGCATTAACTATAAGCTCATTCAATACCTAAAAGCCCCCGGTATCAGACCTCATCATTACTGCAAAGTTGAACAGGTGTGAAGTGTCTTATAAATAGCTGAGCCTTGATTCTTTATCTACTTTTGACTCGTCAAGGAATGCTTTGACACTATCCAACTCTTGGCAGCAAGCAACACGGTATTACTTTGCTGGATACCAGGACACTGCGGTATCATAGGTAACGAGGACGTCGACGAATTGGCAAGGGGGGCTCATCGTGTGTACTTGTGGGGCCAGAACCATGAATGTACAAAGGCCCGCCCTCATTGTGGACCACTCCTACTCTGGCGCTTAATATAACGACAGTTAATCTTACAGGCAAAATGGAAATTTGTTTTTTCCAGATCGCTCTGTATATACATTAGATACCTCAGGGAGTTTTTAAGTGGGGCAACGTAGCTGGAGGCAGATAGCAGTGGAATTTTTCAGTGACTGAAGTGCTGAGCACATATTCTGAAAACCAAGACGCAATTGGGGCTTTGATCTCCCTGAATTGGGCTCAAAATTTGTCAAAAGGGATCTTGTTTGCCTCCCAATTGCGTCGACTTTAATGTGTCGCAGGCCATACTAACATTGCGGGAAACTGCATGGCTGATGAGTTGACGAGAAAGGCTATCCACGAACCGATATCAGCGAGCAATGAATATCTCGCCGTGCAAAGGCAACGGTTACCGCATTTGGTGGGGTTTCTAATACGTGCGACCCGAAATTCAGACGGTAAGACTAAAAACTCCATATTACCCTTACTGCTCCTGTTTCCAGGAGAATGGTGAAGTGGTACCACCGAACATCTTCCACGAGGCTTTTCAGCCTTCGCGAATCTAAGATTGAAGTGTATTGGCTTGTACTTTATAAACAACTCTGAGAAATTTTTGGAGATTTATGTTATCTTCCTGCGTATCGTCGTGAGCTTGCGTCATGTTGTGTCGGTTTCTCTTTTACAAAAATTGTTTCCATTTAATTGCCTTCTGCTTAGTATTTGTAGAAGGTAGTCCTTTTTGGTAGAAAGGCCATAACGTCTTGTGTAAGATTCACTGTTCTGTTAGCAGATATTTTGGAATGCTTCATCATTCTCCAGTTTCTATGGTTAAGATATTTGGTGCGACATTCAGTATGGATAGTTAAATATACACTGCGGATACCAGAAGCCCCCGACTCCCGCCCCATTTAGCAGTACCAGTACATTTTTAAGAATTCCACAATATTGACAACCATATCTCGTCTGCATTCCTCTTGGATTAAAATTCAGACCTTCAAAATCCTCGAGAAGGGATCCTAATGTGTACCGATAAAAAAAAAAAAACAATCCACTCCTGTGTTATTTCCATGCTATCCAAATTAAAAACTCACTTAAACGCGTCCTTTAAAACCATTCAAGGACACTCTCAAAAATTTGGAGCCACTTTTCAAGTAACAAACTTAATTTTCTTTTATTTCTCCCACACTTTAATCCCTAATGATTTCGTCTTTAAATTCTAATGAATACAAATGAGTCTCGAATGTGCGCCTAAACCTCGTCCCATCCATGCATGCATAACAACTATTATTTACAGTTAATGCAACGGAAAATGCCCACTCGTTCACATCCACTTTTGGCTAAAACTTCTTATCAGTTTTTGCAGAGTTTTTGTTATTTAACTACAACGTAACTTTTATTTTTTTTTTTACTATTTTCTTGCCAAACTTCGACACAGGCAATCAAGAATGAGAGTCCAATTTGTTGCTACATATGTACATACATACACATACACTTACAACATGTTTATATGTACATGAATGGTTTGCAACTCCAAGTGGTTAACTCTTTTCGATACCCCACTGCGCGCGCTCACTCACCTCCTCGCTATATCCCAGGCACTGGCAATCATTGCATTGACACAGTAATCTGCCGGCACCATATTGGCCTTGCAATTCGCCCGACCATAGATGCAGCGCACTAGACCGCGCGCCGACCAAGTGCACAAACCTGATGGCCCATACAAATTATCAGTCCAGCCGGGAAATGGATCCTTGTAGGTTGACATAACTGAAAATAAATGAGAATTAATGTGTTGCTAAGAGTTTGCATACTTACATACATACATGAGTGTATGCATGCATGAGTGGGGATGTATGTGGGTGTGCAGAAAACTATAGTGTCATTTAAATACTTGCTTACTTGTTTGTGCATTAGGGTGTGAGTAATTTGTTTATGAAAACGATGTAATATGAGTGTGCTCCCATTTATTCAAAGAATTTTGAGATTTTTATTTTTTTTTATGTTAGAATGAAACAGTAGGAGAAGCCAATTTAGAAAAGTGCATTTTGTTGTTGGCCGGATAAAGTCGATATTAATGGTGTTAAGCCGACTCAAGAGGCCTTGTGACGAAGTCATCAACCTTGGCTCTAAGGGAGGATGTACTCGTGGAATAGTTTCCTGATACTCAGTTGCCTGGATTGGTTCCATCTTATTTCTACCAAACATGGAAAACTATAAAAAATTTTAGGTTTTTTAGTGAATATAGAAATGTATATTAATTTCTAAAACCTCTATTCAAAGGCTACGTACTTCGAAAATTTTAATGCAAAGAAAAGTTAGGTATTGACCTCAACAATCGTTGAGGATCACCGCAAATGGTTTGATGACTAAACCTTACGGGATTAACCCTGGTTTATCTGGATCTCTTTTAATGAGCATTACTGTCAGAAATTTCCAGTGTGTGGCAGCTTTATTATCGGCTTTCAGGATCGCCATATCCTTCGCGGTATTGAGCACTGATAAACTCCAAATTGATAAACCTTCGATAGATAAACTCATAATTTTCCCCTTTTAAGTGCTCCCGCAACACGTTCGACAAAAAAAAATCTAAAAATTCAACGGTAATTTTTAGCCACTTGAAACTTGCACATTATTACACTAAAATTGAATGGGCTATAAACAATTCTAAGAAAAATGTTTGAAATTTTGATGAAAACTTTATGAATTTTGTTTTCAGTGTTCTAAGTGTTCAGTGTTTAAGCTTAGGTTTAAGGTCTGCTAGAAGCTCTCAAAAAAAAAATCACAAGAAATATTTTTCATTACCTTGCACCTTGCTTTTAGGCTTTTTTCCAGCTCTGAAGAAAAACGAAAAATTCATATAAAATGACGCACTAGAAATGGAAAATAAAATTTCAAGAAAAAAAATGCTCGTATATTTATTTCTTCAAGAAAATTTGCAAGAAAGGCAAGCGGTTTTTTGAAGCAACAGAAATAATGAAAAATATTTCCTATGATTTTTCTTGAGAGCTGGATTCTAAAAGCTCAGTTAGTCAATGACGTAGCGTAAACGTAGGTTGACGTACGTAGCAGCATATAAAATTGACTGTTGATAGAGAGAGAGAGAAGCAACGGCAACGTCACCGCCATGCGGTGGTGAGTTTTCGTTAACACGCGAATCCCATAAGCTAGATCGTGTCTGCGTCAACCTAAGTCTACGCTACGTCGTTGACTGTTTGCGCTTTAAGCTTTTGCTGTAAATTTTCTTGAAGAAATAAATTTTCAAAAATTTTTTCCTTGAGAGCTGCAAACTGATTTAAGAAATTCTGATAGTAGAATATTTCTTTCACATTTCTTTTGCATTATTTTATATGAATTTTTCATTATTCTTTGGGATTCGAGGATTTATTTATTTATAAGTTAACAGGAAGATGTAACTACATCAATGATTATGTTTGCTTAAGTTTCCGCATCGAGGTACTTAAGCGGGTTCCTTTAAGTACCCAACCCGCCTAAGTACCTCAAAAATATGGCATTTTTCGTGAGGCGCCTAAACGGGTTTTACTGTACGTATATGCCTTTGAAAAAATAAAAGAGCAGCAACCATCCGTAGCTGCTGAGAGCTATAGTTGTTCACACAAATTAACACCACAAAATCTCTGCAAAATAGCAGGACAGCTGTGAAATTATTTCAAGATCGAGATGGCTCATTTTAAGATAAATGTAGAAATCTTTCAATAGACATTTTTCTATCTTTCTGGACCTTCCGGAAGCACCAGACACCTCTAAGCACGCTGCTAGCGGTAAGATCACCACCAACCTACGAAGTCAGAAAAAAGCAATAAAGTATAAAAACAAAATTAAAATAAACCCACTGATTTCTATTTGTTTTACTTTTTATCTAAAAAAAAAACGTTGTACTTATTTTGCTTTGCTCGTTTCTAAATAAAATTAAAATCAACAACCGGTTTTTTCAAATTGCAATTTTTCGGATAACTCTAAAATCGGTTTTGGAAAAAAGGCGAATAATCGAACACCCTTTATATTTATATTATATAGTTAGATAACTGTTGAAAAACAAGTTGAATTATCCCACTGTACGCCTTGACATTTCC